TTCAGATAACTTTCTTGACTTTCGAACTTTAAAGAAAATAATAGTCACAAAAATAGCAACTATATCTGAATGAATATTTCTTGTGAAACTTTACAGAGAGCCATCTGTATACTTGAATCTTAACTGAAAATAAATACTGAATTCTTGAAAAGCACAATTTCTTGACGAGTTATCAACTCGATAAGCTATAACTCAACTATAATTCTGATTTCGGATATGAGGACAATTCTGATTTCGGATATGAGGATATATCTGATATTACTGATCTGAGCATTTATTCTGATTTATAAGGTTCGGATATTTGAATCTTATTGAGCATAGACTTAGTAATTTGCATATATTTAAGAAAATAAACTTTTGCAAAAACTTTAACAGCACTTACCTGGTAGTCGGCGAGGTGTGAGCGTGGTGTGGTCGGCTTTTCCTGAAAATTTTCTTTCTGAAACTCAAACTTTTAGTATACAGAGCGTTTGAACTTTAGCTCTGATACCAACTGTAATACCCCGCTCATCAGAGTAAATTTTTCGCAACTTATTTCGAAAATACTTATAAATTTTTCGAAACCTTCTTAACTCGGGATGCTACTAACTTATCTACTTCAAAAATTTTTTTACTTAATCTTCATCTAACAACTAAGTTAGACATAAATAAAACAGATTTTAAACATTGAACAAATATAAAAACTTAACAGTTCATACAATCAACTTGATAAATCAACCTTTAAAACCACACTTAAAATCACATTTGTTATCTTAAAGAAACGTAGCGGAAATCTTACAAGCGTGGTTTACAAACCGAAACCTTATTAAAAATTCTCAATAGAAACTTATTCACATCCACGACCACCACAACTCCTCACACCTGCGCACCGTCTTTAATTCCTGCAAAAAATGATAATAGTGGGGCGTGAGTACTAATCAACTGTACTCCGTAAAAACCCATACTAAAGTAAACAACAATAATAATATCAATATCATGATCTTTGGTATGTATCTAAGCTTAATCTTTCGGTATCTTACCGATACTTTAACTTGAACTTTGCAACTACCGGTAACTTGGGCCGGTTCTCACGTGATCACATTCTGGGGGTCGCCTCCCACAGAACCCAGTCTTGACTGAGCGAGCTTAATACTTTACTTAACTTTATACATACCTCGAACATGATAAGAGCTATTATACTCAATGTAATACCCAGTCTGGGTCCCCACCTTTTCTTGTTGAAAACTTTTGAAAACTGTAAGTGCTGTACTGATAGCTGTATCTGCAACTACATAAAAAATATAAACAAATATACTAAGTACTATGCTCATTATACTTACTAAAATACTCGGATACTCACATCTATCAGATAACTTATCCGAATATAAAAGAATACTCTAGAGATCATACTAAGTCCGGATTTAAATTGGTATACTTAAACTAAACCGAAACTTAATCATTTTCATACTCTTCAAACTTTCACATTAATAAATATAATGAGAAAAACTAAAATCATATGCTATAACTCAATTCACCTCATTTTAATCTTAACTTTAACATATGTATTCTCAACATATATATAAAGTTACCTTAAAAAAATTTCACTTTAAAACAATATTCATATCTTGAGATATATTATTTCAAAGTTGAACTATATCAAAACATTCAATTTACTTGCGTACTTGTCTTTAAAAATCTATATCTCATGCTACAATTATCTAAAAATTCTAAAACTTTATATCTTAACTCTCAACTAAATGAAGAAATATTTTGTAAATTTTCTCATAAAAATAATAACCATAAAGTGAGATATGAATTTTCAAATAATGTTTGTCTTACTGAAATTCGAGATTTACTCACTTATGTTCATTATTTTCTATATCATCTTTAACAAGTCCAATAGATATAAAATTTAAAGTGGAAGTTTTTAACTAATATATGAATTGACCATAAAATTTCCAACTCAAAATAATATCAATAGATAGGGTAATTCAATACCACAAATCATCATTACTACACAGATTTTTCACTGGACAACACCTTAATAAAAGATTTTTATAAAATTCATTTTAACTCCGACTTATCTAAAAATTTCCAGTATTATTCTCAACACAATTATTATAGTATATAAAAATTTTCATAATTTTTGTAACTCAATAGCTTGGTCAAAAACAAACAAACATAGGCTGCAACATCATGAACTTTAAATAATCTTGTTTTATATACTTATATATATAAAAATTATAATTTCTTAACATAACAACATATTAATAACACATATAAACAATTATAATTCTTAACTATATTTGATGATATTAAAGTTGTATAACATACCTCTTCCAATCTTGAGAAAAGAAAGCAATGAAACTTGATTCACATTCTCTCAAAATTGTTCGATTCCTCTCGTAACTACTCGTTTCTTACTATTTCTTGCTCTTTGAATATTTATAAAAATTTTAGTGCTTCTAAAATCTGATTCTCAGGCCCTCTATTTATAGGCATAAGAGCTCTTCATTGTTGATAAAACTCCTCACCAAATTTGCTTAGAAATTAATATAAAAACTTAACTTGAATTAATATAAAAATATGATT